TAAGCACTATTGTATCATTTCTCCATGATGTAAAAATTCATTCAAATCACCACTTTTTACTTTTTTAAAAAAGATTTATTTATGCATAGAAGAGCTGGGGTGCAGGCCAGAGATGCAGGGGGTGAGAGGGTTCACCACAGTCAGAGTGGGGAGCAGAACAGGAGGATTGACTGAAATACACTGAGGGGAGTAGCAGGCGAGACAGGAAAGGTCTGCTGCGCCATATGGGTCACCTCCCTGGCCAGGGATTGAACTCGTGCTGCAGTGGCTGCAGATAGCTTCATAGTGCAGTGTATTAACTCCCTGGGCCACCAGGGAGGCCCCTAAATGACCACTTTCAATGGACACATTATGGTCTATCATATTTTATTACAATTTATTTGATAAATAACTATTATTACACATTTAAATTTTATTCATATCATGACATCATTAAAATATTTTAAACATGTTTAGGCATAATATTTGTCTATATCGATGATTATTTTCCTAGAATAAATTACCTCAATAGAAATATACTTACCTAATGCTATTGGAGTAAGGAGTTGGTATAAACTTTTAAATATTGACAAATTGCCTTAAAGAAATGTGGCAACCATCTTTCAAGAGAGGCGCCTTTGACTCCTGCCTCCTAGTCATCATACCCTTCTATAGTATCCCTCCACATTTTGCCAAGATTGGGCTGTGTGACCAAAATAATATAGCAGAGTGCTAGGACATCACCCATAAAAGACACAACTATCTTTTCATTGTTTCATAGTGTGGTTTCTGTCTTAGTCGCTCTTTCTCTTGGGTCACTGGCCAGAGAGAAATCAGCTGCCATATTGTGGGGACAAGCTGGCAGCCTATGAAAAAGTCCACATGACGAGGAACTGAGTCCATAGGCCAACAGCCATGAGCCCCTGAGGCCTGCCCAAACCATGTGAACAAGTGTAAAAATAGGTTCTCTGGCCCAGGACAGACTGCACTTCCTGAGTGGCAAGCTGAGTGGTTCCTTTGATCCCTGACCCACAAAAATTGTGAAATGATAGATGTTTGTTGTCTCCAGCTCCTATGTTTGGCAGTAACTGTTTATACAACAATACGTAATAAGAGATAGTATTAGGACGTGAGCATCGTTTTATATTCTTACCAGCAGGACATCAGCATCTGTCTTACCACAAGGAATTGTATTCTTTTCAAAATCATTCTAACTCAAAGATTTTAAAAGTATTTTTGTATTTAAATTTGCATTTCTTAGACTGCTTGCGAGGTTGAAGTTTCTCAAAAATTTAATAGCTTTTAATTCATGTTCTGTGAATACAGTAATCTATTATTGTCCTTTGAGCACTTTTTCTATAAAAGTTCTATTACTATATATGAACTCATGTCCCTTGTCTAGTTATATTAATGGTAAATATTTTCCCAATTTTTTAATTTGCATTTTAATTTGTTTTATTGGCATCTGGAAGTTTTACACTTTCAAGTAGTGACATTTACCTATTTTTATAATTCTGCTTTTTTCCATTATCTTTATGCCTAGGAAATATTCCTACAAAGAAATACAAAGCAAGGTTAGAGAATGACACGGAGGGGTAATGTGTTAGTGTATATGGTGTGGTCCAGAAAGGTTTTGCTAATAAGCTATTTGAGCAAAGACTTAAAGGAAAAAAAAAAAAAAAAAAACCTCACTCAATGTTAGAGGACCAATGAGGAGCAAACTCCTAGCCAGTGAGTGATGTCCTAAAAGAACTCCACCCCCTGAATTCTTCCCAGACTCCACCACCATCTCCATGTTGATAAGATTGCAGGTGTGGAGAATTAAAGCTCCCAGCATGCCATGCACCTGATTTCCTGAAATGGGGGATGGGAGGCTACTGGAAACTAGGGGCAGAATTGAGCAGCCATATTGGTTTTAAAAGAGGCCTGTGCTTTCTTGCTTGGGCTCACACCCTTGTTTTAGCTCAGATAGCTGCTGGCACCCAACCACAGTCTGGCAAATTTAATCTTCTCTCTCTTTGTTCTCCCTCTTCTAACTCCTCTTGTAAATAAACCTTTTTTTCTCTGAGTGTGTGCCTCCTTTTGGGTCTTATTCTGAGTTCTTAAGCATATGGATGAGGTCTCACAACCCAGATCACCCCCATTTTCCCTTGAGGTTGTCCTGTAACAATAGGTCATAGAGAAGAACATTTCAAGTGCTGAATTTTAACAAAATTTTTTTCTGCATCCTTTAATCTCTTAGAAAATAGTACAAAAATTGATGAAGCTACTTTAATAAGTGTATAAAATAAAGAAAAGATAGTTGTTAGAAAAGGTATACTGTAGATTATTTAAATACCAATACTTAATGTGATGGATTAGACTAACAGATATTGGGATAAACTTCACTTGGACACAATGGGTTTTTCTGTTTTATTTTGCTTGTTCAAAGGATCTATAGTTACCTTAATTTTAATAAGAAACTAAGGACCAGAAAAGTAATTTACCCAAGGTAACACAGATAAGTGGTAGAACTGAGGAAGGAACCCAGGCTGTCTCTCTCCAGTGTCTATTATCCTCTGTGCCTTAATCATCTTTTTTATATTGTAGTAAAAATCACATAACATTAAATTCACCATCTTAAAAATTTGTAAGTACACAGCATAGTTGGATCAAGTATTTTCACATTGCTCTGCAACAGATCTCTAGAACTTCCATCTTGCAATGCTATAACTCTATTATACCCACTAAACACTAATTCTGCCATCATCTCACCCTCAGTTCTTGGTAAATATCATTCTTTTTTGTTTGTTTTTATGCCATTCATTACTTTATATACTTCATATAAGTGGAATCATGTGCTTTTTATCCTTTCATAACTAGTTTATCTTGCTTAGCATAATGGCCACATATGTAGTAGAACTAATGGATCATTTTTTAAATTTTTAATTTTTTTAGGAAAATCTATATGATTTTCTGTAGTAGTTGCATCACTGAGACTCACACGACTCAACAAAAACAAAGTAAACAATCCAGTCAAGAAATGGGAAGAAGAACTTAAAAGACACTTCTCCAAACAGGTAATGCAAATGGTCAACAGACATATGAAAAAAATATTCAACATCCCTTATAATCTGGGAAATGCAAATCAAAACTACAATGAGATACCACCTTATACCAGTAAGAATGGCACACATCAAAAAAACCAGCAACAGCAAATGTTGGCCAGGATGTGGTGAAAAGGAACTCTCTTACATTGCTGGTGGGAGTGCAAACTGATCCAACCACTATGGAAAGCTTTCTGGAGGTTCTTCAGTCTACTAAAAATGGAGCTACCATATGACCCAGCAATTCCATTCCTAGGGAGCTACCCAAAGGACACAAAAACATTGATTCAGAGGAACACCTGTACACCTATGTTTATTGCAGCACTACTGGTAATAGGCAAAATCTGGAAACAACCCAAATGCCCAAAAATAGATGACTGGATCAAGATTTAGTCATTTCTAGCCAAACTGTTAAGCATAATGTTTAGCACATACTAGATTCTCAATAAAAAGTTTATTAAAGGAATTTTTATTTTAATGAATGTTTAAAAAGTAACATCAGTGCCACCTGTGAACTTTATTAAACATCAAATCACAAGACTTAGGATGGAAGGAATTTTCCAGCTTATTGTGTAAGTTCAGTGGTTTAATGAAAAAGATGAAACAAACAATAAGAAACCAGAATCACCGTTGAAATGAATTATGACTCCATGGTCAAAAAAAGGGGACAGAGAAATATATGAAAAAATAAAGTACAATGACAATAACCATCTTTCATGAAATACTAATACCGTGAGTAGATTTTATTGCCTCTACTGTGTAAATTGGGAAAGAGAACTCCAGACAGTCTGGGTCACGTACCCTGGTGATACACAAGTGAGAGACCTGGGATTGAAGCGCTTCTGTCTGACTCTCCAGCCCGGCTCTACAGTAAGCTGCAATCTTCTCCAGAGCCCTTATCTGAGGGCTTTCCACTTTCTTTCATCCAGCAAGCCCAGGTCAAGCTCTCCCCACTGGCTGTAACTGGGAAGGGGGAGTTATCTTCTGAAGCAAAGGGAGGGTCTGGTTCTATCAGGATAAATCCTCAGAAAGAACAAAACACTTAGCTAGAGGGAAAAACTACTGCATTTTTTTTTCTTGTCCTTGAGAATAATCTTTGTTTGGATGAGGCTGGGGAGAAATTGGACAGTTTTGCATTAACTTACTGCTGACCTTTTTTTCTAAGTCCTTACTAAAGATCACTAGAAAATCTAATGTCAGAACATGCAACACCATGCTAAGAATATTTTACTTATTGTTTATGAGCTCCTTTGTGCATATTTTCTCTAGGCATCTTTTAGCTATTTATTTTGTTTGTTTTTCTCTGCAGCCATCTTTTCAAAATGTAGGAATTTCCTTTTTACTATTTCATAAAACTATATTAATTAACCTTTCCTATATTATTTGATGCTACACAGTAGCTATTGTTTTCTTGGTTTTTAAATAATCTACAGTATACCTTTTCTAACAACTATCTTTTCTTTATTTTATACACTTATTAAAGTAGCTTCATCAATTTTTGTACTATTTTCTAATATTTCCATTCAACATTTGCCCCCACAACCTTTAGTATTTGCAAGTTGGTAATTAGAGCAAATATTCCTTCATCTCAACTTTTAGATCATTTAGTTTTTCTGTTTTGATTTTGTGGTTACTCCTTGAGCTCTATACTTATTTTTTTATGTAGAATAGATGTGTATAGTGATTAGAAAGAATGTTCTTATGACATGACAAGATGCTCACAATATAAAATTAAGTTTAAAAAAAGTAACGCAGGACTTAAAATTGCGTATATAGTGTGAACCAACTAAGTGAATATTTACATGGTTTATTTAGATAAAAAATGTTTTTCTATACCAAAATATTGACAGGCATGAGATTATGAGTAATTTAAAAATAGGTGTTTCGGCATATTTTTTATGTTTCCTACAATGAGTGTGTATTATATTTTCCCAGACACAAAAGTCAGAACAGAGGCCAAAAGGACAACTTTGCTGAAGGACTCCTTTTATGGCCAGGTGCTATCCTTCCATCCAAAGACTTCTCTAAACAGCCTTGAGGCAGCTGAGTCTGTGGGCAGCTGGTAGGTATGTGTGGAGTGCGTGAGGTGGGAGGTGGGGGACAGAAGAGGGAGAAATCAAAGGGAAAGTTTGACAGTCCGATTTCTCTAGGAAAGACCCAAATTCTCGTAGTCTGTGGTTAAAGCAGTGCTATCTTACTTGGAGTAAAAATGGAAATAACATCTGGATCCAGATGGGAGCTGAAAACCTATTATCCATATTGCCCAACTCACTCTCCAACTTGATTTTCATTTCTCTAAAACTAGGATATTTAAGCAAGTTCTGGTTTTTAAATTCAGATTAATGTGTAATATTCAATATATTTTTCAGCATCTTTTTACCTCAATTTTCCTAATTATCAAGGGCCTAGTAATAATTTTGTTCCATGATATCATTAAAGAGTCTTGAGGATTTAGGAATAAATTTCTCCTATTCACATTGCCACTTAAAATGCATCACTTTGTCACTTTGTTATGTTGCCTTTCTGGGTTAAAAAGAAGTATGTGTTTCTGTGTGCGTGATACCCTTTCCTTTTCCTTTCAACTCTGCAGACTTTATTCCATTATTCTTCTTTCTGGGAAATGAGACAGAAGAACTAAACTCCTGTCCTCTTGAAAGGTTTGTTTAATGACCATCCCATGTGAACATACTCAGTCTTAGCAGAGAGCATGACTGATGTTACCATATAGGCTCATAAGACTGACTCATTTATCAAATATTAAAGAGTCGTTTTATAGAATGACTTTTCCAGTCACTCTTCAATAGAATTGAAGTCCAAACAATTATAAGAAAAGCACAGGGCCCGTAAGTTGTTGTTTTGTTTTTTTTTTTTTGTCTAGCCATTTGGGAAACCTGAGAAAATGGCTAACCTATGTGAATTTCTCCTGAAGCTAAATTTTCTCATACAGAGCAAAAATTGATGCCATTTCTCATGACAAATAAACATAAAGAAAATACATTTTCAAGGGGCTATTTTATATGAGCTATTATCTAGAGCTCAGCTCTTGTCCAGTTGAGTCATATTCCCCCATATCCAGTCCAGACTCCTCATGAGTTTTTGGATTAATAGACTGAACCACTGACCAAAGCTCGACATATATGGTTCTGAAAATACATCATTCTTATATGCCCCCCCTTATCGTTATGTCTAAACTGGCAGTCAATTTAGTTTGTCACAATTTACAATTCCACACACCAATTAAATATAAAACATAAAATTATATTAAGATGTTTCCTTTGTGGGGAGATTAAGGATTGATAAAATAACAAGGTAATAGTTATGTTATACAATGTATGTTATGGGTCCTTTTCATTTGTACTCATCACATCTAATGTTTTCACATTGCTAGCAGTAAGGTTTCTTTCATATGCATGGCTTGAAGAGAGGGCAATGGACCTGTGTAATCCTAGGGAAGAGGGGTTGTCTTCTGACCACCAAGCTATCACCCAATGAAACCAGTATTCGAAATAGGAGTTAAGACTAAATTTGAATTTGGCTTCTATTTTGAGTTGTTCACCCACCAATACAGAACTGGTGTAACTGGGCTGTTCTGAAAGTCTAGTATGTCCATATCTAGCTATACATATGCAGAAAGGTCATTCTATCAAAAGATTTCTCTTTTACTCTATATGGGAATAGTTTTGGGTACTTTGTGAGTTATGTAAGGACAAAGAAACACTAAATTCCCACATGGCAGTTTGGTTAAATCACAGGTGCTCTGTCTGTTAAAAATTTTAGACATTTGACTAAATTGTATTTCTTATTCTAGTATGTGAAGGGTCTGACATGTGAGAATGAGCTGTAAGATATGAGATCACTTAGGATTCCAAGATCATTTAGGACACCAGATATTGGCAGCAAGATATTCTCTATGGGGATGTTTATTTGTTGTTTAAAACATACAAAACTTAGCATCTTTGGTAAAATAGAAGAATAACAGTTTTTTATTGATCATAAATGATGTTTCTTTTATGACAAAGAAGCCAGTAAAAACTCAATTTGAAACCAAACTTTTTTCCAATATGGATTAGAATTCAATTATTTTCTCATTTAAACTTTGGGATTGATTGCTTCTTTCCTTTTGCAAAGTTTTCTGTCTCATTTCCAGTACAGATGTCTTTTGCCTTCAAGCCTTTCACAGAGAATTTAATCCTTGGCAGTGAAAAGAAAGAATTCCATGGGGCAAATCAAGGAAGGGGGAGGTGGGAAGAGGCTAGACAAGCTCAAGTTCAATTTGAATTGATAAATCCTTTAGTTATGCCAAAGATGTGAACGTATCAAAGGCATAAAAATCTTACATAATAAAAATAGAGGTATAACTCTGCCTTGCAGGAAACACAATGTCTTTTCAGTATTCAAAATTGCAATGTCAATTCTACAGTAGATCTTCCTTGGAAACCCGCTGCTACCTTATGGTATGATTACACATGCCCTGGGGATCTGAGAAGATTGAACACTAATTTGCACTTTATTTTGGGTTTAAAATAGAATTGGTTGTCCCTAATACCTACTGTTTTAGGAACTGGAAATATAGTCCCAGGCAGATCTTAATTGCAGCATCCATTTATCTTCACTTATTTTCTACTTTGATTATATCAGAGTTCTTTGGTGGCAAGCCAGAGTAATTTCTTCTGGCAAACTTAAGCAAGAAAGGAATTTATTGGGCAAATTGGGGTAGCTCAAAGGATTGAGGAAACAAAGCCAAACAACCAGTGTTAGGACAGAACCAGATAACTTGCATGAGTCTCCATAGTATGAACTCTCCATAGCCTAGTCAAATCTAGTACAAATGATTCAAATGATGCTATTACCAAAAAGTAAATGGTGATGTTTTACTGAAAGAACATAGCCTGGAAGCTGGGCAGCTAAAAGCAATAAACCAAAAATAACAACCACAAAAAAAACAAATGGGTGCCATTCCCTCCCTTTCTTCCTTATAATCTATTTTTTCCTCCCTTTGTATATGTTTCCTCTCCTTTTTCTCTTTTTTGCCTTTCTTGTGGCCTTCTATCCCATGCCTTTTAAAATTAATCTGTTAATCTCGCTGAAATTCTTGCCATTGTTCTTATTTCTTTACAAGAAATACTTATATCAAAATTGATTCAACTAAACCACTGATCCTTATGAGTAACTGGTATTAGCTGAGTAGGAAAATGTTAACATGGTATGATTTTTTAAGAAATATTCCTGAATTTATCCCTTCTTTTCTATCAACTGCCTAGAATTTAATTGTTATAAATTCATTCACATAATTATTAATTCCATCTTATCATGAAATCCTCTTATCAGTGGAAGACATGAAACAGCCCACATGGCCAACATAAATGTTGCAGAGAAAAATGAGCAATTATTATGGAGATAAAGCACATAGGTCTGACCTCACAGCCATCTCTTTATGACTGTATGACCTTGGCAAAACTATTTCTCCTCTTAAAATTTCATTTATGTCATCTTTGAAATAAGAATATAATTCTTGCCACATTTACTGGTTACAAAAAGTCAATAAAATTATATTTGCAAAGCACTATACTGCCTGGCACATAACAGGTATCCGTAAAGATTACATTCCTCTATCAACAAACATTTAATGAATACCTGCTATCCCCACACACCGTGCTAAGAATGTAATGGAAACAAAACATACTTTCTATGTTTTTGGAGGTTACATTATATTCTAGTGGATAAGAACTAATAAAAATCTAATATAGAAAGTACCGGTTTCAGTAGACATATTGATTGCAGTTTCATAGATAATGGGTATGTTTGAATCACCCCAAAATTCATACATTGAAACCTAATGATGGATGGCAGCTTTCAGATGATATTAGGTCATGAAGATGGGCCCTTGTGAATGGGAATACAAACATGCATCACTTAATGATAGGTATACTATATAAGAAATGTGGTGTTAGGTGATTTCATCATTGTGCAAGTATCAGAGTATAATTACACAATGGTATAGCCTTCTATACATTTAGGCTATCTAGAAACAGAAAAGTCATTAAGTAATGCATCACTGTACAGAACAGAGGACAAGAGACAGAGAGCATATAGTGAGAAAGCCTAAGATAAATGTAGTTGGAGCCCCAAGAGCTGAGAGAGGTAATAGTCAAAAGCCATATTTGAAGAGACAATGACAAAGCATTTTCCAAAGTTTATGAACGACAATGTACCACGGATTCAAGGATTTCCATAAATTCAAGGAGGATTAAAAAAAAAATCCATCCCTAGATTCATCGTAGTAAATAAAACCAGAGACAAAGAGAAAAATCTCAAAATCATCTGGAAAAAAAAAGAAATAATTCAAAGTGCTGGAAGAAACTATCTATCTAGAATTATATATTCAATGAAAATATCCTTTAAGAATTAAGATTAGGGGCCTCCCTTGTGGCTCAAGGGGTTAAGACCCAGCTTATGAAGCTATCTGCAGCCACTGCAGCATGAGTTCAAAACCCGTCCAGGGAGGTGACCCACATGGAGCAGGTGACCTCTCCCCTCTGGCCCCCTGCTCTCCTCAGCAGTGTATTTGAATAGACCCTCCTGTTCTGTTTCCCACTGTCTCTGGTGAATCCTCTCACCCCCCACATCTCTGGCTTGTACCCCAGTTCTTGTATGCATAAAGTAGATAAATCTTTAAAAAAATAGAATTAAAATTAAATAAATATCCAAACAAGCAAAAACTGATAAAATTAACAGCATATTTATAGTAAAGAAAGCGCAAAGGCTATATTTTAGGTAGGAAGAAAATGACCCCAGATGGAAGTCCAGAGATGCAGGGGAAAATACAGAGACTGAGAAGGCTAATAAATATGTGGATAAAAAGAAATCAGTATTGACTACAACAAGGCCTTGTGGAGTTTTCACTAAATATGAAGTTAAAATTCAGTGATGACACATAAGTCAGGAGGAGGATAAATGGGATTTCAAGGTGCTAAAGCTCTTGCAAGTATCTGGGAAAACAGCAAAAATGCCATATAACAGTATTAGATTTTGATATGAGTATTATAATCTCTTCAGTAAAAGAATA